GGTCGCATTGTTCTGTTGGCGGCCAGAGAAGAAGAGAGAATAGAAAAGAAAAGAAGGAAAGGAAATAAAAAAAAGAAAAAAGGGAGATAATTCTTTTTTTTTTGAGCAAGATATTTTTTTAAGAAACAAGGCTAGTCTGGTCACGCCCACACTGTTGATCGGCCATTAGATGAATGTTAACGAGAGCCAGGCGGAGGTGATCATGTGATGCAGGGGGGAGGCCTGCTACTACTCCTTAAAAAGGATAGGCATAAGATGTTACTGCGAAGAAGTAGGAAAATTGTTGACGCCCTCTGAAGGTAGGGGTAAGAGAAGACTTCCAAAAATGGAAATAATAATTTTTTCCTGACCGAAAACAAAAAAAGGGGATTGTGGATTTGGAATTATCAAGGAACCTCAAACCCCAACAAAGCACACTCCGGTTTTGGTCGGCGTCCATATAAGCAAAGTCGCAGCAAGCGAAAATCAGTTTCCCAGTTCAGTCCAGTTCGGTTCAGCTCCCAGTTCGCAGTTGAAGTGGGCCTCGCAAAGCTGATTTGTAAGATTCGCGCAACTTCCGAACTCATCTTCAATCCAAGAAAAATTTATTTTTGAAGAGCGACTTAGATCCATACCACCAAAATAAGTTTTACGACTATCGCCTGAAGACACACCAAGAACCAATTTCTTAAAGAACAGACAACTTAAGATGTTAAAACTCACCTAACAAAAACAACGTGTCACGAATCCGTATAACGGATCGGGAGATAGACGCAGTCCTATGTATCCAGCAACTAGATATAAAGTATTGTTATCCTTTTTTTGATACCTTGAACTTTTGAGTTATTATTTTATTTTCTTTTACACATATTTGTGCGATACCACCCTTATTTGAACTCAACTTGCATTACGGCCCCAACAACTGATTGATTTCGTCTGCCTAAGATCAATTCACAACGTGGGTAGGCGGACTGGAGATCAACGCAGTTACTTCGGTAACCAGACGTTGGAAGCGAGTTGGGAACGACGAGGCTGATATCGAATCTAACCCGATTCCCATCCGAATCACCAAAGGGTTAGAACGTCACATTTGGGTGCCGCGACCAATACCAAGCCAGTTGGTCGTCACAGGATGGGACAATACGACTGACGCAGACAGGCGGACGTCACGTTTGGAGCGGCGACACCCGAACGAAGCAGCGAGGAGCGAGCGAAGGCTGCGGGACGTCACACTGTTGTAGAGTAGTTTTCACAGTGGAGGCTTGTATTTCACTAAGTCGGTCCTAAACTAGGTTCGACGTACAAAACGTTAGGAACTTGAAATAATAATTAATGACGCAGCAATCTAGTTGTGGTGGTTGATACTTCAATGTCCGACATCGACTGACACACCAACTCCACTCAGCCCACTGGCGACTGCTACTACTACTACTTATTATGTGTGGTAGAGTCTATTAATAATAGAATAGGTATGTTCCGGTATAACAATAAAGAAACTTATCATGCGAATTCTGATGAATAGAGCGCACAGCAGAATCAGAAAATAGGATAGGAGTAGTGCGGGTTTGTAAAAAAGCACTGGAACAAGGATCGCGATACTTATGCTCGTAATGTTGTCAGAAAAAGCAATACAAATGCAGGACGTGTACCTGTGTTTTGTAGATTACGCAAAGTACACCACAAATATCTATTGGAACTACTCAGCAAATTTGATATATTTGGGAAGGATATTAGAATAATCAAGTAACTATACTGACCTATTTACAACACAATTACATACCTATATACACACCATATTAAAATTCGTTCAAACTTTATTTTCTACCCAATATCAGACAATATTTATACGCCAACAATACAAAACATGCCGTTTAAATCAACGTGCATATTGGTTAGAAATTAACATCAATTCATTTTTCTCGAACTTACTTTCGGAAAAATTTCTTTAAAAAATGACTTTCTTTTCCTCAAATAAGGTGACACACTGTGCTGTTATCAGGTGTCCATCTGCGGGTTGTCGGCGCATTGAAATTTTGTGACTGTTACTTTTATAAGGAACGCGCGGGCGTAATAATAAGCAAGTGAATAAATTCTTTTAATTTTTTTTATCAGCGAAATATTTGTAATAACTCAGAAGTTACATTTATTCTTAGCGCTCGAGTATCGTAGCCAAACAATTTACTTCTGCAAATTTTCACAAACCAAGTCCTTATCAATTCTGGGATATTACCAAAATGTACAAATTTGTGTGACAAGATTTATGTAGCGAAAATGATGAAAAGTACTATGATTCCCTTTCAGTTGATTATTAATTTAGTTCCCTATTTGTTACTGTGATACGAATGATTGCGATATTTGTATTTCACAATTGTTATAACTCTCTAATACATTGACTTAATCTCACTGCTACTGAATATTTATTAATTTCTCTGTTTGTTTGAATGTTTTTTGGGGGTTTTGGGGTTGTTTTTTTTTATAGGTTCGCTTATCGTCCGGTTCTAATTCATCGGTTTTTTAAACAGGAGTAGAGATTTATTCCTTGTTTTCTGTTTAGGGATGGGTTTCCAGTTTCTACTAATGTCTTATTCTCTTTCACTCACAGTAGCCCCTTGCATCTTAGTAGCGTTGTCGTTTTGTTTAGAGTGAATTGCTTAAAACATATAGTTTGTGGGGTGATAAATTTATGCGAAGTGAAAAAGTCTTTCACACCCGCAAAAGGGTGTTTTATTATCATTTTCTACTCATCATAAAGTCACGGGTTTTACAAAGTTGGTGTCGACGTGATAGATCAGAGAAAGAGATAAAAATAGATAAAGATTTAATTCTGTATGTGTTTTATTTTTGCTCACAGTGGGAACACTGAATATATTTTATTCATTTTATTCTCTTCTCTCTCTCTCTCTCTCTCTCTCTCTCTCTCTCTCTCTCTATATATATATATATATATATATATATATATATATATATATATATATATATTTTTTTTTTTGCGTTCTTTGCACTCATATTTATTCATTTTATTCATGTCATAGCGTTATTACGCATTCGAAGTTAAAATGTTTTTGAAAGTACAAAAACCACTTTTTGTTGAGTTACGTAAATTATTATTTTGTAATGTGATGGATTTCGGCTTGAATCTACCTGTCTCAATCTTATGAGGATCTTTCTACGTTTAAAACGGAAGAAAATTAGGTAGATAATAACAATTGTAACTTTTTATATATTTGTATTTCAAATGCAACCACCTTTCTCTTTGTTCTTTACATTGTATTTTAGGGATTCGTGAAATGTTCCATTATGCGCCTCAAAAATGTTAGCATTCTGTTTTTGACTAAAAATCCACTTGTGTTTAAAATATACAGACTGGACATAATTATCTTCCTATGCCTTTGATACTTAGTTAAATTTAATGCATTCTTATAATATTTTGATACTTGAATTTAATGCATTCTTATAATATTTTGATACTTGAATTTAATGCATTCTTATAATATTTTGATACTTGAATTTAATGCATTCTTATAATATTTTGATACTTGAATTTAATGCATTCTTATAATATTTTGAAATATGTAAGTTTAAATCCTCGAAACATAAACATGAAATTCGTATTTGAAAGATGAATTATCATTGAATTGAATGGGTGGAGCGGAAATAGTGTCAGATGGCCGAGTTCAAGTTCCAGCCGTGACAATGTGTATTAATTTCGCATAACTCCCCTTTACAAGAGCCAAATCAAGCCGAAAATGGAGTACTGATGCCATATATAGGCAGGAGTTACCCAGTTTTCAGTTTCTACTCTCGATAGAGTCCTAAAGTGTCTCCGCGTCTATGTAAGTGATGAAATATTTTCCACCCTAAAAACCCTTCCCCACAGACAAATTTTCGCAAGTCCCCCGTTTCTCTATCGCTATTTCCATAGGTAGTGTTCAGATGAACTACATTCCTTAGTTCTACCAATTTTAACCTTCACGGGCAAGACCCGCCATGCTACGCACATTGTAGTGAACCACCACCATTCCCTTCATATTCCATTGGTGAGATGTTACTTCCACAAGCAGCTTCTTCCCACGAAATGTTGAACAAGATTATCGAACAAGAGCTTTGCCAGTGCATACGATTAAATCCATATTAATTTCTTACTGCTTCGCTAGTTTTATATTTCTTACATGCGCAGAAATATGCACTGCTTCCGCCATTATATTCTTGGTTTCTCATCTATTCCTTCATTCAGGGCCTTAATAGTGAAAACGATACAATACGCTCGTTCGGGCAAAGCAACAAAGAATTGGTCATCAAACTCTTGTACCGGCAACACTTTTCTTTTTCACATTTAACTTTTCACTTTCCAGTCTTGATAGAGTCCAAAAGCCTCTCCGCATCCTTGTGAGTGATGAATTATCTTGAACCCTAGAACCCTTTTCTCACAGACGATCTATCGTTATTTCTATGGAAAGTGTTCAATCTAATTACAGTTCTGCCAATTCTAACCTTTATTGCTTTTTCCCCCACGAACCGCCGCTTTGTGGAACCGACTCCCGAGAGGGTGCTTCCCCGATCACTAAAATCTTGATTAGATGAAGTCTAGATTTAACCGTTATCATTCCCATGTATAAGCTGTGTCTCTTACAATGTAAATCTCTATCCTGAGTGGCTTCCGGGCCTTGTACAGGGTGAACGAACATCATTGTAAAAGAAATTGAATTCGCTTGGTCTATATTTATATATAATAATCTACGTTGTGTGATATGATATCGGCTTTCGATTACGTGTGGGTGCTTTTTTTCTACTTGGTTTCATTTTCCTTCCTCCCAGTGCTATTAGCAAACAGATAAATGTATTGGTGCAACGAAAAAATTAAGAAAAGAAAACATAAAAACATTTTTTTTTGTTTCAGAAACTACAAAACACTTAATCTGAGCACTTCATTTTGTTTAATTTAATTCATTCATTTATATTTTTACTCATTTGACATTCGTGGAACCGCATCTGTTATGATGATGAAGACAGCGAAGTCAAAAATGCATTTCAACGAATGGAAACCATGCCGAAGTCTGCCAGTAGACAAAGGATGGGCCTGGGTCGTACTCATGGGTAAGTTGACAATATATTAGCCATTCCTTTTTCTTTCTTAATAGAAGAACTTTTTCTTGGTAAATATCTAACAATAGCAATCACCAGAAGACATCTCTTTTTTAGCAGTTAATGTAATCTATTTATTTATTGTTAATAATAGGCTAGTCACATTTTCCTATTATTTAATGATGGCAATAAACTATACTCGCTACGTTTACAATTGTCATCATTAATGGGCTTAACATACGTCCAGGCTTGAGGGTTTGGCTCGATAATATCATTCGTATTGTCTGTGTGGGTTTGTGTTGGGTCATGAAAATATCTTATCATACAAAACAAGTAAAACGAAGCCTACAATAAAAATAGAAAACTACTGTCCTGGTTGGAAAATTATGGTAGTTAGTCATAGTAACTGTCCTAATTACAATTTAAGTTTATAATTAAAGTTTAACCATTTTACAATGCACCGCTGATGTTTAGTAATTAAACCTGAGGCAAGAGCGACAGATGTTTCGATTTCAGTGACAATGCCTAAGCGGTCACTGGTTAAAATAGGCACCTGCAGTATAATTATAAAAGGTCACACACGCACGCACACACACACACGATAGATAGATAGATAGATAGATAGATAGAAAGTCGACTGAATTCGTATAGATAGATTAGATAGTGTTTTATCGTTTTAATTGGGTTCGTTCACTTAGTGCTTTCTCACTCACGACACGGGAACATGTTTGTTAGGTTTAACCATTTATTACCAAGTCAGGAAAACAGCAACAATAAAACAAGGGCACACAACTCATACTCGGATATTACTGTTTATAACACATCTACCTTCCTTGTTTGTTTAGTTTGTTTTTTTTTTAATTTAATTCTATTATTATTTATTTATAGGATTTTTTTTTTAAGTCTTTTTAATGTTCCTTGTTGAAAAAGGTCACCCATAAAACTTTCAATAGTTTGTTACAGGGTAGGTAAGTTAGGGTTGATGTAGTAGTAATCCGGACTTGGTATTATTTGAGTGTGTTATTTAAAGTAATTACGCCATTGCTATATGTGCAGAAAAAATCCTTTTCTCTTTTTATATTGAAAACGAAATGAATTAAAATGTACAACAATGATATAAACAATAAAAACTTGAGACACGTGATGATTTAAATAGCAAGAATTTGCATTTTCTTTTTGTGATGTGAGTTACAGAATATTGGTATAGTGTGTGTAAAATTTTCTCAGTGTGTTTTTTGTTTAAAAGTCAGTGCTTACTTGGTTTGGTTCTGAAAATTTCGTTTGTGAGGATAGCGTTTAACATGGTTTGGTTCCGAGAATTTGTTTCTGAGGATGTCGTCTGTTTTCAATCTTCACGGAGTGATGGCAATGACGTGAGTTTCTGTACTACTATTTATCTACTCATCACTGACTACTGCTACAGGCACCCTAGTCTATCTATTGTTCTCTACTCTACTGACTCTCTTGTGGCGGAAGGGTCTTTGTTATAATGATAGGAGGCACGGTGGAGTAATAAATAGCGGCTCGGATTGAGGAATTCCAGTCGTGCAAATACCCTTGGGAAAAGTATTAATCCTCTCCTACCCCCCCCAGCTATGGGTAAATAGCAGGATGGACCGGGTTCTGTCGCCTTGGATGGCAATTAGTCTACCGCAGAAAGAAATGGCAATCTACTGACTCGTCAGTCATGTATCGAAAGATAACATCATCGCCTAAGCGTGTATCACGCATGGTACATAACTGACTGAGTCACTTAGGTGTTTTGGTCTACGGACACTACCTCTCCTGGTCTGGGGTATTCTTAGACTATTTGTGTCATTTCTATTGGAATCCTTTCTGTTCTTTTCTTTTTTATATGTCATGTCCTTTCAGGACGTAGGCGATCATGGCTCTCCACTTCCCTCTATCCCTTGCAGATCCTTCCCTCTGCCTCCTCCCCCAGACCACGTTCTGCCATCCACCTGCTCAAGCTCGTCAGGTATGTCACGCGCTGCTTTCCCTTGTCTCTCTTTCCCTCTATTCGACCCGTGAGTATCAGATTCCCCATGCCTTCCTTCCTCATGATGCATTCCAGAAACTTCAGCTGCCTCTTTCTGATGTTAAGTATAACCCTTCTTCCTTGTAACCTCTATAAAACCTGATCGTGAACCCTTTTCTCACAGACGATCTATCGTTATTTCTATGGAAAGTGTTCAATCTAATTACAGTTCTGCCAATTCTAACCTTTGTGCTTTTTCCCCCACAGACCGCCGCTTTAGTGGAACCGACTCCCGAGAGGGTGCTTCCCCGATCACTAAAATCTTGATTAGATGAAGTCTAGATTTAACCGTTATCATTCCCATGTATAAGCTGTGTCTCTTACAATGTAAATCTCTATCCTGAGTGGCTTCCGGGCCTTGTACAGGGTGAACGAACATCATTAGTTTTTGAAATTGAATTCGCTTGGTCTATATTTATATATAATAATCTACGTTGTGTGATATGATATCGGCTTTCGATTACGTGAGAAGGGTGCTTCTTTTTCTACTTGGTTTCATTTTTATTCCTCCCAATGCTATTAGCAAACAGATAAATGTATTGGTGCAACGAAAAATTAAGAAAATTCTGAAAACATAAAAAACATTTTTTTTTTTTCAAAACTACAAAATACTTAATCTGGCACTTCATTTGTTTAATTTAATTCATTCATTTATATTTTACTCATTTGACATTCGTGGAACCGCATCTGTTATGATGATGAAGACAGCAAAGTCAAAATGCATTTCAACGAATGGAAACCATGCCGAAGTCTGCCAGTAGACAAAGGATGGGCCTGGGTCATCTCATGGGTAAGTTGACAATATATTAGCCATTCCTTTTCTTTCTTAATAAAGAACTTTTCTTGGTAAATATCTAACAATGGCAATCACCAGAAGACATCTTTTTTAGCAGTTAACGTAATCTATTTATTTATTGTTAATAATAGGCTAGTCACATTTTCCTATTATTTAATGATGGCAATAAATATACTCGCTACGTTTACAATTGTCATCATTAATGGGCTTAAATACGTCCAGGCTTGAGGGTTTGCCTCGATAATATCATTCATTATTGTCTCTGTGGGTTTGTGTTGGGTCATTCTAATATCTTATCATACAAAACAAGTAAAACGAAGCCTACAATAAAAATAGAAAACTACTGTCCTGGTTGGAAAATTATGGTAGTTAGTCATAGTAACTGTCCTAATTACAATTTAACATTATAATTAAAAAGTTTAACCATTTTACAATGCACCGCTGATGTTTTAGTAATTAAACCTTGGCAAGAGCGACAGATGTTTCGATTTCAGTGACAATGCCCTAAGCGGTCACTGGTTAAAATAGGCACCTGCAGTATAATTATAAAAAAGGTCCACACACACGCACAACACACACGATAGATAGATAGATAGATAGATAGATAGAGAAAGTCGACTTTTTTTCGTATAGATAGATTAGATAGTGTTTTTATCGTTTTTTAATTGGGTTCGTTCACTTAGTGCTTTCTCACTCACGACACGGGAACATGTTTGTTAGGTTTAACCATTTATTACCAAGTCAGGAAAACAGCAACAATAAAACAAGGGCACATCAACTCTTACTCGGATATTACTGTTTTATAACATATCTACCTTCCTTGTTTGTTTAGTTTGTTTTTTTTAATTTAATTCTATTATTATTTATTTATAGGATTTTTTTTAGAAGTCTTTTAATGTTCCTTGTTGAAAAAAGGTCACCCATAAAACTTTCAATAGTTTGTTACAGGGTAGGTAAGTTAGGGTTGATGTAGTAGTAATCCGGACTTGGTATTATTTGAGTGTGTTATTTAAAGTAATTACGCCATTGCTATATGTGCAGAAAAAATCCTTTTCTCTTTTTATATTGAAAACGAAATGAATTAAAATGTACAACAATGATATAAAAACAATAAAAACTTGAGACACGTGATGATTTAAATAGCAAGAATTTGCATTTTCTTTTTTTATGATGTGAGTTACAGAATATTGGTATAGTGTGTATAAAATTTTTCTCAGTGTGTTTTTTTATTTAAAGTCAGTGCTTACTTGGTTTGGTTCTGAAAATTTCGTTTGTGAGGATAGCGTTTAACATGGTTTGGTTCCAAGAATTTGTTTCTGAGGATGTCGTCTGTTTTCAATCTTCACGGGTGATGGCAATGACGTGAGTTTCTGTACTACTATTTATCTACTCATCACTGACTACTGCTACAGGCACCCTAGTCTATCTATTGTTCTCTACTCTACTGACTCTCTTGTGGCGGAAGGGTCTTTGTTATAATGATAGGAGGCACGGTGGAGTAATAAATAGCAGCTCCGTTGAGGAATTCCAGTCGTGCAAATACCCTTGGGAAAAGTATTAATCCTCTCCTTAGTCTCCCCCAGCTATGGGTAAATAGCAGGATGGACCGGGTTCTGTCGCCTTGGATGGCAATTAGTCTACCGCAGAAAAAATGGCAATCTACTGACTCGTCAGTCATGTATCGAAAGATAACATCATCGCCCTAAGCGTGTATCACGCATGGTACATAACTTTACTGAGTCATTAGGTGTTTTGGTCTACGGACACTACCTCTCCTGGTCTGGGGTATTCTTAGACTATTTGTGTCATTTCTATTGGAATCCTTTCTGTTCTTTTTTTTTTTTTTTATATGTCATGTCCTTTCAGGACGTAGGCGATCAAATCTCCACTTCCCTCTATCCCTTGCAGATCCTTCCCTCTGCCTCCTCCCCCCAGACCACGTTCTGCCATCCACCTGCTCAAGCTCGTCAGGTATGTCACGCTGCTTTCCCTTGTCTCTCTTTCCCTCTATTCGACCCGTGAGTATCAGATTCCCCCATGCCTTCCTTCCTCATGATGCATTCCAGAAACTTCAGCTGCCTCTTTCTGATGTTAAGTATAACCCTTCTTCCTTGTAACCTCTATAAAACCTGATCGTTGCTCACATGCTCGGTCTATAATATCCTTTAGCATCCTTCT